TTGTTTATTATTTCCCCGGTATCATGCTTAAAGCCATAATGGATTTTAAGTAAATTGTTAAAATTAAATTTATATTGACTTATAACAACTATTGATACACTTTGTTGCTACCGGAATCCACCCCTTCACCTACCCTTATATCACTTGTGTATTATATCCCCGGTATCGGGGTTAAAGCCATAATGGATTTTAAGTAAATTGTTAAAATTATATTTATATTGACTTATGACAACTATTAATACACTTTGTTGCCACCGGAATACACCCCATCAACAACCCTTAAACCAATTATTGTGTTTTATATCCCCGTTATCAAGCTAAAAGCCATAATGGATTTTAAGTAAATTGTTTAAATTTATATTGACTTATAACAACTATTAATATACTTTGTTGCCACCGAAATCCACCCCGTCAACAACCCTTAAATCGGTTGTGTATTATTTCCCCGGTATCGTGCTTAAAGCCATAATGGATTTTAAGTAAATTGTTAAAATTATATTTATATTGACTTATAACAACTATTAATATACTCTTCAACAACCCTTAAATCACTTGTGTATTGTATCCCCGGTATCGAGATTAAACCCATAACGGAATTTAAATAAATTATTAAAATTATATTTGTATTGACTTATAACAACTATTGACTACTATTAATACCCTTTGTTGCAACTGGAATCCATCCCGTCAACTACCCTTAAATCAGTTGTGTATTGTATCCCCGATATCAAGCTTAAAGTCATAATGAATTTTAAGTAAATTGTTAAAATTATATTTATATTGACTTATAACAACTATTGATACCCTTTGGTGATGGAATCCACCCCGTCAACTATCCCTAAATGACTTGTGTATTACGTACCACGATATCAAGCTTACAGCCGTAACAGATTTTAAATGAATTGTTAACATTACACTTATATTGTCTTATAATAACTATACATATATAATACACAACTGATGTAAGGGTAGTTGATGGGGTGGATTTCGGTGGCAGCAAAAGGTATCAGTTGTTGTTATAAATCAATATTAATATAATTTGAACAATTTACTTAAAATCCATTATGGCTTTAATCTTGATATCGGAGATATAATACACAACTGATTTAAGGGTGACGGGGTGGGTTCCGGTGGCAACAAATGGTATTAATAATTGTTATAAGTCAATATAAATATAATTTTAATAATTTACTTAAAATCCATTATGGCTTTAAGCTTGATAATGGGGATATAAATCAACTGATTTAAGGGTTGTTGATGGGGTGTATTCCGGTGGCAACAAAGAGTATTAATAGTTGTCATAAGTCAATATAAATATAATTTTAACAATTTACTTAAAATCCATTATGGCTTTTAGCTTGATAACGGGGATATAAGACATAACTGATTTAAGGGTTGTTGAAGGGGTGTATTCCGGTGGCAACAAATGGTATTAATAATTGTTATAAGTCAATATAAATATAATTTTAACAATTTACTTAAAATCCATTATGGCTTTTAGCTTGATAACGGGGATATAAGACATAACTGATTTAAGGGTTGTTGAAGGGGTGTATTCCGGTGGCAACAAATGGTATTAATAATTGTTATAAGTCAATATAAATATAATTTTAACAATTTACTTAAAATCCATTATGGCTTTTAGCTTGATAACGGGGATATAAGACATAACTGATTTAAGGGTTGTTGAAGGGGTGTATTCCGGTGGCAACAAATGGTATTAATAGTTGTTATAAGTCAATATAAATATAATTTTAACAATTTACTTAAAATCCATTATGGCTTTTAGCTTGATAACGGGGATATAAGACATAACTGATTTAAGGGTTGTTGAAGGGGTGTATTCCGGTGGCAACAAATGGTATTAATAATTGTTATAAGTCAATATAAATATAATTTTAACAATTTACTTAAAATCCATTATGGCTTTTAGCTTGATAACGGGGATATAAGACATAACTGATTTAAGGGTTGTTGAAGGGGTGTATTCCGGTGGCAACAAATGGTATTAATAATTGTTATAAGTCAATATAAATATAATTTTAACAATTTACTTAAAATCCATTATGGCTTTTAGCTTGATAACGGGGATATAAGACACGACTGATTTAAGGGTTGGTGAAGGGGTGTATTCCGGTGGCAACAAATGGTATTAATAATTGTTATAAGTCAGTATAAATATAATTTTAACAATTTACTTAAAATCTATTATGGCTTTCAGCCTTAGACAGAGGATATAAGATATTACCTGTTTAAGGGTAGTTGACGGGGTGGGTTCTGATGGCTACGAAGGGCAGAAATAGTATTTATAAATCAATAGAGATGTTATCTTAAAATTTTAAGACGGATTTAATGTGGTAGCAGGCTTGTTATTTGGAATAGAATACTTGGACCTTTCCAAGGGTAGTTCGTATTGACAGGGTAGTTTCCGGTGGCAACAAAGGGCGGCAATAGTTTTTGTAAATGGCTATAAATGAAACGTAAACTTTTTAAATCAAATTTAACGTGGCTTTTTAAGCTTGATTGGAGATATAAGTTATGACAGTTTTAAGGGTTGTTGACAGGGTGTCTTCCAATAGTGACAAAAGGTCCGAATATTTTTTAAAAATCAGTATAAAAGTAATGTTAACAACCTATGTCAAATATAGGGTGGTACGGGGCTAATTTTCTAAAATATATGTAACTAAGTTTTAAGGGTGGTTAATATGTGGGGTGGCTTCTGATGATGGGGAAGTGTTGTTTTCGTCTACAGAAGCCAGAATTTAGGTGGTAAAATCATTTTAAGTACGATTAAACGTGATATTACGGGTTTTCATTTTCGTTCAAACGAACGTTCGGAACTTCAGGTACATTTTTTTTCAAGTGTACAAAGCAATGAAAATAAATTTTTTTCTATTTTTGTATTATTTTTTCGATATTTATGTCAGTTAGACAAATTTAAAAAGAAACCAAATTTTATTTTATTTTGTTTGTAACCAAATAAACACAGAATAAAAAATATTTACATTGTGTCCACTTTTATTCTCGGAAATGGTGCTAGGCCTCATATTAACACACCAAATATAGAGAACGGACCGTGAGCCCATGCTTTTCGCGACAGCATTGTTTTAAATGCAATACTTGAGACCAAGGGGACTTCAGACAGTGAAATTGTTTGACAATATACGTGAGTCCGCATTGGTCTCATACAGCCAAAATGTCCGGAAAATATGTGGGACCCTGTTGGACTCATCTGTCATGTAAAGTGCTAAGCAAACCTAAAATGTATATTTTCTGTAATCCTGATTTAAATATGAAGATTGTGGTCTCTAATATAAATTATATAATTATTATTATAAGGCACCAATAAGAAGAGAGAAAATAATAACATAATGTTCATTTGTCACATGTTTCTTCTTTTTAATTGTATTTTAAGAACATAGCTAGTGACATTTTAGGGGAATTACAACATAATTGTGCAAATAGGCACCAGGTTTTACACAAAAAAATTAAGGTCCCAATAAAAATTTTCAAAAGGATGACCAACTTAAAAACAGTAACGATCAAGTAGGCTAATGTCAGAAAATGACAATACAATTACAGTTTTCAGTGTTTGATTCTTATTAATCACAGTGCTTCACTATTTACCTACTAAAATGGAATATCTGAGAGTTGCGATAAAAATTGAAATAATCTTAATTTATGGCGAATGTCAAAGAAGTATTGTTAATGCTGTTGCTTTATTTGCTGAGTGATTTCCTGAAAGAAATACTCCGTCGCAGGTTACGTTTTATGAAGTTGTTAATGCATTTATGGAAAATGGAAATGTACAACCTAAGAAAAGGAAGCAACTAGCTTTTGCAACTCATGAAAACAATCAAATAGCTGTATTGGCGGCAATAGCAGTAAATCTACTAATTTCTTCTCATAGACCTGCTGACTTCGGAATATCTCGTACAAGTATTTTAAGAATACTGGAAAAAAAAATTCCATCCATACGACATATCACTACATCAAGAACTCCATGGCGATGATTTTCAAAATCGGGTAATATTTTGCCAATGAGCACACCACAAAATTCATTTGAATCGAAACTTTTTTCTTAAGGTGTTATTCTCGGATAAGTCAGGTTTTACCAATTATGGATAAGTAAACAGGCACAATATGGATTACTGGAATGGATTGGTCGAGGTGGTCCTGTTACCTGGACACCCAGATCACCCGATCACAATCCCCTTGATTTTTACTTATGGGGGCACATGAAAGATTTAGTCTACACACTAGTTTCAAAAACAAGATAAGTATTATTGGAGCGTATGCAGCAGGCTGCCAACAAATACGACCAAACAAACGCCAAATACGGACAACTATGTCATCTGTTGGCTTACGGGCACAAGCCTACATTCAACAAGGTGGTGAACATTTTGGACTTTGACCTTTTCTTAAATAAAATCATTTTTTATTTGCTTTAAGAAGGAATTTTTATTATTTATTATCTGCCAATAATTCATAGGCGTATACCTTAGAAACAAATAAACATGGATATACAAGTTTTACGTTTTTTACTATAAAAGGAGTGTACTTTAATCTCCCAAAATTTGAACTTAATGATACGGGACATCTTGTATAGCTTTCTCAAGTTAAATGGACCACCAAAATTTAATTAAGGAAAAAAAGTGACATTCTTTAATTTTTACATAGTACCTACCTTTTTTTTTAGAAAAAAGTAAAATTTGCTAGAAGCTTTTTTTAGAAGATGAAAAGAGAAATTCTCATTTTAAAAAATTTGAATTTTCAATTTCTTTTTAAAGATATTAAGTACTTCTGCATTTTATTCTGGAAAATTTTTACTATTTCCGTTTACTTTGGATTTGAAATATTAAGATTTCAAATACATATAAGGATTTTTAAATTTGTATCTAACATCTAAGTGCATGGTATTTTTTTTAAATCTACTTACACCGAAGCAATCAATATGCATGCTTAAAGAAAACTAACTACTAAATTGAAAAACTACTTACCAAATTGACACCCACATTCCTTGGAATCCGCACATCTGGTTCACTTTGGGCAATGTTTCTTCTAGTCTGGCTTTGATCATTCCAGCTATATAAATCCTGCAGGCTGCCATATCCATATTTTTCCACGGAATCAAAATTATTTAACTCCTCGCAGCTGTAATTTGGCTTAGACAAACCATAAACTTTTGGACTTAATTTATAGTTCATAATGTTCTCATTGTATTTGTCTAAATTATCGCAACTGCTCACCATTTTTAGCTGTCTTTTACTTCTTTTACTTTCAAAGGGTGCCTTAAAAATATTTATCAAATTCGCTAACTCTATACTTTTCGAACTATGCATGGAAACGCTATCTACAGAGCCTTTAAAATCAGGATCATCATTTACTGAATGCAGAGATACACATTCATATGACTTTTTGCTAGGGCTATTATCAGGTACGTCAACTGCCCTTTCAGTGTATATCTGCCCTGTATCTACATCTGCATTGCGAGTATTATCATCAGAACTTAATACACTAGTTGGAGACATTCCCCTTTGAAGTTTTACACATGCATCTGGCATAGCTCTACACGTTAATCTGCTATAGTCAGTGTATTGGTCACTATCATTATTTTGCTTGCATGTATAGTCGGCTTTTACCAAATTCTCATTTTTTTCAATATTTTTTTTGCTAACTCCTTCGCAGGCTCTAATGTTATTCAAATTATTAAATTGTTTCATGTCGGCATTTTTATCGTTACTTTCACTTTTTGACAAATTATTTTGTCTATCTAAAATTAAGTTATTTTGAGAACGCATATTATTTAATTCGATTAATTGTGCTTGATCATTATTAAGTGGTACATTATCCAAACCTTCAAGTGGTGTATTCGCAGCATCTATGCCTGAGGGTCTGTTACTATTATTTAAAAGTGGTAATGGACGATGCATTGGGAATTCAACAACTAAAATTCTATCACTAATATTGCCACAGTCATCCCGGAAACCTATACCTGAATCTGAATTGCTTGAAGCACTAGGTTGGGGAGAATTAGCTACCAGCGGCCCCAAATTGTCATTGTTTCGATTACCATCGTTAGTTTGCAATTTATACATGTTCTGAACCAAACTCACTATATACAGTGCATTTCGAGGGAATTCTAAACAGTTTCCAGTAATTGGGTCTGCTGTACACGTTATTTTGAAACTTTCTGCCTTTTTCTGATGTATACTGTGATCTACAATTTTTGGATCAGTAACAAATACATGGCAGCTATTTGAAATTTCAACACCATTATCGGCATTATTAAATTTTTTCTCATCCTGTTGATAACTATTCTCACCATATCGTTTTTGCAAACTTTCATTTCTAGTATCACAAACAGCGCTTGTTACTAATCCAAAATATCTTGATTCTCGGTCAGCTGTTGATCCGACATATACAACACGGTTAGTAGGATATATGGCGAGTATATGATTAGAAGCATTTTTTAAAGTTAGGCAAGTAGGTAATATTGTCATTAACACAGCAGTGGGAGTTCTTTTTTCTTGTCTGAGTTTACGAATACAACTACAAACTGTCTGCAATCGTGAACTAGGTAACAGTTGTTTTGGCATTTCAATAGTGCCTAAATAACCCACTAATGCCTTGTATTCAATTGGACCGGCCTCGTCTTCCATAGGTAATGGATTAGAAATATTTAAAACACCATGAATAGGTTCTTCATTATAGACATTTGTATTTAAACGAGAATCACTTACTGGCTGCTTAGAAAAACATTCCCTCATTTTTATCACATTCTTTTCACTAGTTTCTACTACAGCTCTCCTTAGATCTCCCTTATGCACTCGCTGTCTAGGTTTATGCATATATTTTGGTTTTCGACTATTAACCATCCTCCCACAATCCATTTCTTCATCGCTACTGTCAGAATAATAGTTTTCAGCAATAGTCATCTTTATAGGACCCACGCAATTTCCTATTAGCCCCACAACGGCGTCATGTGTTATTTTTGATACAGACACCCCGTTCACGGATATTAAAAAATCTCCTGCACGTAAGCCAGCTTGATCAGCTGGAGAATTACTTACAATACATGATAAAATACAAGGCTGTTGTCCGGATATTGTAAAGCCAAATCCATTTGGTCCTCTTATAACTTCCACAGTTCTTATTCCATAGTTAGGACGTTTTTTTCTACGTCTGTTCGGATGCATTTTAAATTTAGGTTAAAGAAAACAAGAAACAAGAAAACACTTTTAAGTAAACAAACCACAAACTTTCACAGGGCGCATAACCCTAACACGTCATTTGATTTGTATCATTTTTAAATGGCCGTTGGAATGCGTTTAAGTAGTTGGCCCTCTTCCGGCAAATAGCTTAACCACTATCGAAATTTCATTTTCACCTACCTTCCCAACTCGGTAAAAATATGTGTATGCGTTCTACATTCCGTATAAACAGGTTTTTGTTTGTAAAAGTGCAAATAATTTATTTGTTGTTATTTCAAGAACATAATGCGATAATTTCCATTGAGATTTTATTCATCAGAAATCGAGATGTTGAAGCAGTGGCGTTACAACAGACAAAAGGGAGTACAATATTCTCTTTAGAACAAATAATTATCTATTTTCAATATTGAAACAAAAAATATATAAAGAATGAAATGTTTTTTTTAATATGTTCTATACTCAATCATTCAAAAATATACACCACCTACACCATTCAAAAATTTATGTAAGGTCTATTATAGGCTTTTTTTCGCGAGTGAATATTGGTGAGTACGTCTGACTTGTAGTTACTATTTCTATCTCTTTTAATCTTATTTCTAACCTTGTCTAACCTGAACAGATGGCGAAAATGTATATATTCACTATTCAGTGATATGTAGTATGTACTTTGACGACTTTGACATATGGGTTTTAACTTCTAACCAGTAACCATAATCATTTATTGCTTCCAGTAATCTAGTGTTGTGGGAATTGGTGTTATATCTCACTATATAATATATGTATTTGCTTCAAATAAAACTGAAGGAATATATCAATCCTTTCTTTGGAATATTTTTAAGTGGCAAATTTAAAAAGCGTGAAAAGTATGTAGATTCTGACGTTGCAAGATATGCGAATATTCGACATAATCGTTATCGTAAGAGAATGGAAGGTTAGGTCGGTTTTTTATGTAATTCATACGAAAAAGACTTGAATTACAAATGATTCCACCAATATTATCTCTGGCCTAGGTCACAAAAAAAAAGAGGATAATCCTGAAGCAAAGTGGATTGCAAATATGTCCCATATAAAAAATTAATCTCACCATCAAGTAAAATATTTGCTGTTTCAACGTCTATGTTTACTAAAACATCTGTGCCTCTAAAGTTTAAATTTAAACTGGCCACTTCCACAGTCGTATCAGAATCCATCATTTTGCTGAACGATTTTTATACTCATTCAAACAAAATGTCAAAAAGAAAAAGGTTAAGTTACCAGCTGACAATACTAGTTGAATATACCAACAGAATATTCAGCTGAAGGGTGAACAGTTCAGTCATTTGATCTAAACTTGTGACGTCACATAGTAGTTTAAATGACTGACTATTCTCGCAAAAACGTAATATTCACTCATACTACACATACTACAACATACGACTTCACTCGCGAAAAAAAGCCTATTATTTCAGTAACATCATATTCAATTGTTTTATTTGTTTTTACTATATTAAAAAATAATAATATAAAAGTTCTATCCTTTTTTAAATCTCGAAGTCTTGAACTAAAGGAATTAAATAGGTAAATTGTATTTTTACTTAATTAAAAAATGTTAAAATTAAGTATTTTCAAAATGTTTCAAAAACCGTTACCTACTCCCAATCTCAATCCCTTCACAATACTAGGTGTTATTTATGTTCAATGTGTACAACAATATTCATACAACATTCTACCCTCCACTTTTTTTGACCATGTGTATTTGACGATCTCAAAGAAATGAAAAAACTTTGATGCTGCATAAACATGAATTTGGTTCCATCTGGGTAGGTAAACACTGGGGTTAGTAAATAAACCGAAATATTTGGCAATCTATATCAAAGCAATCATTCGATTCTCTTTGGTATAAAAATAATTATTAAACACATGAAACTAGTTACGACTGTTAACGACACAGGTAATTACTTTTTTCTTTCTGTACGCATGCATATTTAACTACGAAAAAAAGAGTCGACGTTCCACGCATTTCACAGCTTTCTTCATATAAAAAAAATATACTTAAAGATATTAAATCTCGTAAATTGTATAGAAAATATATTTAAAAAATTAAACATATCCAGTCAAATATTTACGCAGAGAGTGTAAGATACATGTATGTTTGTAGATATTTAATTTTGTTTTAGATGATTCACTTAGTCGAAAACAAAAGGTGGACTTAATTATATTTAAATAATATTAACATGTTAAATAAGTGAATATTATTTATATAAGTAAATTTACAAATCATGCTCCAGATTCTTCAACTTCGCTTTCTTCATCAGATTGATGTTCTAATTCCACAGATAAATCTTGATAATCAGAATCTATAAAAGAGTACTAGTTTGTAAGAGAGTTTTAATAATGTTAACAGAATTCATAAAGAAAGTATATTCTGATAAAATTAGTTGGTACTATTAAATGGAAATCAGGTTATTTTCATCGCCTGCATTTACATTTTTTATTCCCTGGATAATTTGCGAACACATATGTTTTTCTTTAGTCTAGTTAATGATTATAGAATCCACTTCTTAGGAGTTACTTATACATCATATTTAACAATTTATTACAAAATAAAAAAAATAATAATAAAACTAAAACTAGAACGAAGAAGCTTCAAGATAATGGTATGAGAACATTTACCTACAACACGATAATTTCAAATTATTGACTTGTATTGCTCACACATTGATATTTGAAACTAAAGCGGCTATAAGAAGCCAGTACCACAAAAATGGAATATGTGTATATTTACTTACATTCAAACGTTTTGGCATAAGATGGTTCTGAGTATTCTGGATTCTTATCTGGGTTGTACATAGGATAAGCATTTTCAAATAGTGCTGGTGTATCTTGCAAGTAATGAGGAGGCAAGGAAATTTGACTATTCCTGTCACTGGCGGAAATTATAGTATTTGTGTCACTTAGTTTTCTTCTCCTGAAATAATATTATTATGAATAAACAATAATTTTACTAACTGCAATACTAAGTTTGGGTGTGTCTGTTTACGAATCCATGAAAATATAATATATAACTTAACGTTTGTCAAAGAAAATACTTTTATAAGTTCCAACATAGCATTTACTTTTTTAACTCCTATGGCTCTTTTATTTGAACTTTACTCTGCACTTGTCTGGGCAGATAACAATGTAAAAGAATGAGCAATGACTCATAAAAAAATTCATAGTACCGATTATAGTTAAGTTAAATTCGCTTTCCAAAGCAGTGTGAATCATTCTCCATCTATTATGTTAATTAAAACATAGATACATAAATTTAAAATACAATTACATACGAGTTCAGAATTTCAACATATTTATTATGCTCAGAAATTCCTCTTGATCATAACAACAAACAATTATGTAATTATGCTAGTTTCTGAAATATAGCTTATCAAAATGTATATGTTAGTTTGTTTGTTTGTTAATTATTTTAGTATAATGTCATTCTCACTTCAGAATACTATTTGTCTATTTACACTTTAAACTTACCTATTTTTAAATTTTTAGTTCTGAAAAATATGATTTTTGTGAAAAATTTGTATATATTTTTTAATGAAAGATAACCTTAAGTCCCTTCCTTCATCCACGCCCCTAAAGCCTCCAAAAAATGTTTCCACTTTCACAATGTTGTAAATAATATAGTGAAACACCATAACCATATCATTATTACGATTTTGTTAAGCTTTCCAATATTGCAGATTATCTATTAAATTGCATCACATTTCAAGAGATTTAAATAACATTTGTTAGTTCTTGCGGGTAGAAGTAAGCCTACTTTTTTATTATTTAAATTAATTAATTAATATATAACCTATTTATATTATTATATTAAATATAAAAAGCAATAAATTTAATTATTGCTGTAATAATTATTAATAACGTCTATAAACAGTACTGAGGAAACATTATATCATTATATTTAATTAAATACATTAACTTTATAGATAATTAGCAATGATCATCATATACAGGATGTTTGAAAAATGTATGTACAACGTTTGATCACATATTCCTTGGCTGAGATTAATCCTATTTGCCCAACTTCAGGGCTTCAAAATTCATACAAAATTTTCTTTTCTTGGAATAACTCAAAAATATGTCCATTTTAACCATTTTTTTTTAAAGTAATATTGTAAAGTAACATACAAGTAAAGTGTTATGCTGTGTTTATACTCACTAAAATAATTTTGAGTACGTAGAAGTTTAAAGAAACAATAATACAAGTAAGTATGGTCAATATTTTTTTCTTTTTACCCCTTGTGCATTGACTACTCATAATTTTTTTAACAATAGCGGACTTCATTGGAAACTCCAGCGAAATATTTATTGGATGAGCAGTTTAGTCAGAAAAAAATAATTTAATAAAGATAACATAGTAACAATAAAAATAAAAATATTATAACAAATGTTTTAAAATGGGCACCGTTCTCTTCAATTCGTAGATTAACTCAACACAAAAATTGAAATGAAGATTCTTTCGGTTTTTTTATCAATGAAACTGTTTTACAATACTTCTATACAATTTCTCTTCCCTGTCATCTGCAGATGAATAAGCCATAAATTTCAAGGCATCCTAAGATTTATTCAACATTCATCGTTCATTCAAGAACTCTCTAACAGCTAGAAAGAAATAGGCAGAACTTTGAACTTATACGTTGAAGTTGAATGTCATGAGCATGAGGATTACTAAACCACTAATCAAAAAAAAATCACTGAAATCAAAAGTTTCCTAATGCAGTCTGCCATTCTTAAAACAATATTGTCCTGTACCATTATTTTTTTAACACTGGTATTGTAAGTTTGCAAAATTATGTTGGAGGGCAACAAAAAATTTAAATTTGTTGTAGAAAATCACATCCCAAAATTGGTTAAAATTGATTTATACGTTTTTTTAATTTTGAGGCCCTCGAGCGACTAAAAAGCAATTTTCTTGGTAAGTTCTTCTAGGTAAGTTGAGCTAAATAGGATTTATCTGAAGAAAATTGCCTTAAACGTCATACATGTATTTTCCAGATACTCTGTACATAATTTCTGGATTTGAAATGAACAATAAAATATGAGATAGATGGTTCCTTTTATCCTTCAAATTTTGAATTTTCTCCTGCACTGAAACTCAGTAACTTATAACATTGGCGCATTCACCAAAAAATATAACTATAAAGGGAAATACCTACTCCATTGTGGTAACTTTGATTCATTTAGTATATTTATAAAGTGTGAACTAAAATACTTGGTCAAACTTTAATGGCTGATTTTGCTCACAAATTTCAAAAATAAGATCCTAAAAACATGTGCACGGAACGCTTTGTTTTCTAGATACAGGGTGTACAAAATTAATTATAATATTTTGTTTATTTCAAGTTACAAATAACAGAAGAGATGTAAATAATATGTACTTATTTAGGGATAATGTGATTGCTTAAATTATTATTATCATTATGTATTTATGTTTAAAATGTTTATATTTTTTTATTACAAAAGTTTAACTAAAACTGTATTTAATTTCTATTATTTTCTTTATAAAATGATAAAGCTTTTATACGGGGTGTTAGTAAATAAGTGCGACAAATTTCAGGGGGTGATTCTACATGAGAAAATAATGGCAGTTTGCTTATATTCGTTTTCCGAGATACGGGGTGTCAAAGTTTTTCTTAAAAACTGACGATTTAATTTATTGCTCTGAAACCGGTAGAGATGTGCAAATGAAATTTGGTGGGTTTTAAGAGGTAGTTATTTTTTAGAACCATAACATTAAAACAAAAATCTAAGTTCACAGTAAAAAGTCATTGCAGTAATAATAAAGCTTTCACAAATTTTAAAAAATTCGTAAAAATAAAAAAAAATGTTTTTTTTTTTCGTATCTTCAAAAACCGAACAACTAGAGCAGATTGGTCTAAAATGTTTCCTATTTGTCCATTTTTTGTACATGTACCTATTACCAAAGCACATTCAGAACTATTGTCTTGGGTGGAGATACAAATACATTAAAGGGCGCCATATTCTTAAAATAGTGTTTTCCACAAAGACAAACAATTTAAGTAATTTAATAACTGAATAATTTGAAGCTTATCAAATAACGGAAATGTTATGTCATGATATCTGTGTATTTTCAAAGACGCCGCAGTAAAACGAATAAACAGGTGCAAAAAACGATCAAACCATCAAGGTTTCAGGTAAGTACTGAAATATACGAAAATAGCAACTTTTTTATATATCACTCAACATGTAAATATTTTTGTAACATATAGTTGCTTAGTCCTACATACATGGTTTACTTTTATTTATAAGTATGTGAAAATAATTCTTAAAATGTGGGGTTAGAATAACAGCAAATGCATGTTTTACAAACGCTTTTTTTAAGTTATTATTTTATTTGAGTAAATTTAAATAGTAACAATGAATAAACAGAACGTCAAGGATTTTATTTTTGGGCTTACTTTTGTTCTACACGTTTTATTTTTCAAGATTTCAGTACCTAAAAACCCCATAAATTTGATTATTTCTCGGCCAGGGATATGGCCACCTTACAATTTTATACAAATTAGAGTACAAGTATAGCGCCAAGGTTGTTGTGTGGCAAAAGTTCCCGCCTTAATAGCAAAAAGTATATGTGTGGACTTTTGAATAAAGGTAAGTCGACTTAAATCATAAAAGATTAAGTTTAATTAGGCTAGAATGTCCCCACATACTCAACTGTTCTGACAACTGCAGAAGAAAATTAAATAAATACAAATTTCTCCGAATCTCTATCAGTAAAAAAATATATATCAATGCAAAAAATCAGAGACTGTTTAAGATAATCTTAAATAAATAACATTGTGTTCATGTCTGTCTATATTTAAAAAATTTCTCTGTGTCAGGTTTCATTGAAATATGTTAAGAAATTTATAGACAATGGCAAATGAAATATTAACTCAAAAGTGGCACTTGGTGTGTATGTCAATAGTTTAATATCAAAACGCCAAAAGATAAACTGAAAATTTATACAGACATTTCTCTTTCTATTTGTTTTAAAGCAAAATATAATTATGAACCAGAACAGTTTAGGAAGCAAATAAGACTGAAAGCTGTATTTAAAATTTTACTTCTTGATGTAACACACGTTTTCATTTTTTTCAGACCAAAACTTTTCAAGAATACATTATTATTACTGGCCATTTGTACTGTACAGTTTTAATTAAAATACAAAAAACAAAGATAATAATATTAGTCATTTGTTTAGAAAATGAAACAGATTTAATCACTTTAGGCCAATATTTGCTTTTGCACTAAATTTCTCGGTTTAACCCTTTGTTCATAAGCTGGCTAAACTGGTATTTTTAACAAGAACACTGTTTCTCGAAAAAACTTAACTATTTTCCGAATTATACAAGCACGTAACTGAACTAAATTTATATACAATTATATCGATCAATGGCAGAGACACTCCAGACACTGTCAATGAGAACATCTACGTTACTGGATATTTGGTAAACGATTAATTTTCGAGTTACTTTTTTTGTTCTAAACATAGTTTAAATTAAAAGAAAATGACCCAAAAAAAAACATTTGTAGTATTTTTGTAATCGATAAAAATAAAAAACAAAGTAGAAATTTTAAATTTCCTAAGTATCAGCATTGTATAAGTAAATTTACTTATACAATGGTATCAGTAAGGGGCAAACTTCTATGACTCTGAATATTCCAGTCATTTCATGATTAATTATTTAATGTACTTGTATTTGTATGTATGTATATTTGTAAGTACATACTTACTTTGTATTTATTTCTAATAAAAAATGTCTATAATTTTTTTTATGAAACAAACAGTTTTAGAATTATGTATTTTCAGCAGTTTATTTTAGGCACAGTTATCATATTTTGGGCTCAAGACTATCAAGATACCATTTGTATCTTCCATTTAAATACACACTGTATACAAATGTTCGAAGTCCAGTGCTAATTGCCCATCTTTGGACCCACCCAATTTCGTAGGTGACTCGACCGATATGACCAAGCGATTTTTTTTAATCGCATCTCTTCTTCATTTATCTCATTCTTACCTCATCATATTGGACACTTTCATGCCCCAATGCCTTATGGCCAATATGATAAACGCGAAAACAAGTGTGCATGCAAGAAGTATTATAATTCCCCATTTGAAACTGCCCTCGCCTGGTGGAGCATATTCCGTCGTACCGTCAGGTAGGTACGTTTCTGCGTATCTGGACCACATTATTCTCAGATGGGCCGTCGTCATCTGATAGCCAGTCCATAAGGAATCGGTGTCCTCAATCAGATGTACTGGCACGGAGAAATTAAGCTGCACACAAGTTTCACTGTTGGGCCAACCGATCGAACAGGGGAGTAAATAGTTTATAATCACGTTACTGGACCTAAAAATGTCAATAATAAAATTATGTGGTAGTGACTAACACTATTATTAAAGAGAAAAGAAATAAGAAATTTAAAAAATTTGCAAGAAACTAATCATATGAACCAAATTTAAAGAAAGAAACGTAAAAGTTATTTTTAGTTTAATTGAGGAAATTACGATTTTGATAAGAGCAGAATAGGTAAAATATTTTATCTAAAGATAGCTTTATGACACATTTTTCAAGTGGGTACATTCATTCATCAGTTTTTTTTTACTACCAACGAAAAAAGGAAGATATATGCACAATGCTCCCATGGATGTCATTTTAACTCGACTTGCAAAATCCATTTGAATAACTGAATACATGCGCTCCGCGTAGCTCGCTCCTACATCTGTAGTGTTTACAGCGGTGGTCATGGTTACTCTCACGCAGCAGTGAAAAGCGGAGTGGGAGTAGCACATGTTTAACTATGCCGTTTGGGTTCTATTAACTCCGACCGTAACCAAATAGTAACTATTCACGGGCTTTTTCTTATTAAACGTAATTTATTCAGGTGTGGTGTAAAATTTGTCTGTGTGTTTTTTTAAATATTGTAAAAGTTTAAATTGATTGTAAAGAGAGACTAACAATAATGCCATCTATTGAAAAATCATTGGTACGAGAAATATAAAACTTTAATGGAAAAGTAATTGAAAAGTTTATTTGGAACAAAAACAGAAGAATGGACTTTCACTATAGAAAATAATGTTGAACATCTATATTTCAATGCTAGTTGGCGCATGTAACCGATAAAGTAGTTGTTTCCTTCAATATCGGTTAAGAATCTTATCTATAAGATTAAATATCTTTTGCATACCTAGATTTTTTAATATCAAACAACATTGTTTAACTTCGGTTGGTAGGATTTTTAGAAACATTTTGTGAATTTATTTGAATTAACTTTAAAATTAAAACACTCAGTCAGTAAATTGTCATGAAAACAACAGTTTTATATATTATATATTAAAATAGTAAACTACACAAATAACATGCGCGATGTATAATACATGTCGTTTAAGAACGACAACGGCAACGCGTTAGTAGCCAGACGTTATCCAGATCGCGTTATCCGGAATTGTAAAATATTCAGTGTTTACATCAGCGTCTTACAATTAGTGAAACCGGGAATTTAAAAAAAAACATATCTACCGTTGAAAATGAACACCCTCAAACAGTTTTTCCTCAAATGGAAGAACAGGTGCATAATGAAATCGAAAATAGCCCTACACTAGGAAGATTGCTCACACATTAAATATTAGCCAATCAACAATTTGAGGGATTCTTTAAAATTGTACCCCTATCATATTCAAAAAGTACAAAAACTTTTAACCGTTGTTTTTCCCCTAGAGTAGCTCTGTGTCGATGTCAATAGACGCGAGATAGCGAGCACAGATACTCTTTACCAATGAGGCTAACATCTCTAGGGATGTCATACATATAAATTTTCATAGTAATCACATTTGGACTTTTTAAAACCCACTTGCGCGGTCTTAGAAAGCAGTCATCAACACCTTAACGTGTAGATGGCAAATGTCAGGCATTTCTGGTTGGCACAATCTTTCTTCAGGGCAGGTTTACTAGGAAAATTTATAACAAATTTGAAGATTTGCCAACATCGATATTTGAAGAAGTCTGTTAAAACAACATATTATGTTGTTTATGCACAACGGCGCTCCAGCTCATTTCAGATTGGCTGGGAGTATTTGGATATTGTATATCCAAATCGTTAGATAGATAGAGGAAGAACACAATCTTGGACTCCATATCCCTCAGGCGTAAACTTTCTCCATTTTTTTCTCTGGTGACATCTTAGACAATTGGTTTATACGACTGAAAATTTGGAGTAATTATGGAATGAAGTTGTAGATCACCATTTTCAACAGTTTTTGTAAATATGTTTAGCATTTTTCGAATAAATTGGAGAAAGAAAAGAAATCGCAAACATAATTATTATTTTCTGCATCTGAACGTTCCCTGAATTCCTAAACTTGAAAAGAAAATATTCTGCGCTTTCCAAAAACTGAAATTATACACTGATTTATATCTCATTCCGGTACACTTTTTGTTCACTTTTGGTTAAACCGGAAAGAGAATGGAAGAAAGGGTAGTAACAGCCATTAACTCTAATTTTTCTGTATGTATGTATGTTGATTTTCAAGACTAAGCGTCTGTTTGGTGTTTCTTATATTTTTTTCATAATCATAACTGTAAACTTTTGATACAGAGCTTCTTTTATTACAAGATATTGTATGTTGTTTGGATATCTGGTCTTCTTTGACTATGATTTAAAGTTAACTGAAGCACTACAAGGTGTTCATTGCGGATGACTCACCCCTAAAATTGAATTGTACCGAATTTTATTTTCATTGACCGAATTGAAAAATAGTAATATTAATTCACCGTAGAATTTAATTTTAAATTTGTTTTTACTTTGTTAAATTTTAAAAAACTTTATGGTTTTCAAGAAAAACTATATTAACTGACGCAAGATTTTAACAGAGTTCATTAGAAAATAATCAAAAAGTCAGTAGTAGGCTTTATCTATCAAATTTGACAATTGGCCAAATAAATTTTACTTCACTTCTCTCCTAATTCTACAAAAAGAAAACAAGTACCTAGGTAGTTTTTAAATAAGTGAATATTTTAGTAAGTAAAAAACACAAATAAATAATAAAAATAATAATTGATATTTTTTCAACAACAATCAGATGCAATTGTTGAAATAAAATAATTTTATTACTAACTGACAAAGATAAATTCATTGCCTACTACTCACTTTTCGATTATTTTTTATTAAACACTGTTAAAATCTTGTTTCAGTTAATACGGTTTTTCTTGAAAACCGATTTTTTTAAATTTAACAAGAGTAATAAATTTTTTAAAATTAAATTCTGCTGCGAATTAATATTATTTTTCAATTCGGTCAATAAAAAAAAGTTCGGTACAATTTTAGGGGTGAGTCATCCCCAATGAACACCTTGTAGTGCTTCAATTAACTTTAAATCATAGTCAAAGAAGACCAGTAATAAACCTAAATCGTGTAATAAATTTAATTCTTCTACGGTAAAGTGTTGCAGAGATATTAATTTTTTTCGAAATTTAGGATCCCATTTTGGAGGCTAATAACTCCTCAGGGGTTCAACTTTGTATATAGGTAAGTTTGGTTAAATTATATTATTTTATTTTGGATACCCCTACATGCACCTGCCCTGTGTCGGTTCTTATGCGGAACACCCTGTATATAAGTCACGCTGGGAAATCTTTAGCCCTTAGGCCGTAGGCCGAGAGGGCTAATTTTCCCAAGTGACTTATATGACGTAACATACGAGTGACATACAAAATTTTATCCAACACTTTCATAGAATCTCGTTTTAATAATAAGTAAAAGAAACTTAAAATTTCAAGTTAACAATGTCAGAAAAAGTAATTTAACGAAATGAATGTATTTTTAAATATTACAAAGGATGCAAGTGTCAACCTAAATTGTCTTTGTAACCAAGAGTTTCATAACACTAGTAACTTATGACTTATAACTCACTAGTGAGTTATAGACCACATTATTCCTTTAAAACCAAAGAAATTGTAGTATCATTAAATACAAGTGTTGGATAATAGTTATTTATGGTACTAGTGTGTTACGGTATACAGGGTGTTTCAGAAAGACCCCATAAATTCAGGGGGTGATAATACGACAAAAAAATAAGATTTTTTTGTCTTATGAACTATATATCTATTTCCTCTTGTTTTCGACATACAGAGCGACAAAATATAATTTTTCAAATAGAATTTTTAAGAAAATTTCCAAACGGTGCGAAATATTTTTATGAAATTTGATATTCCGGGGTTTTTAAGGACGCCAAATACGTTGGTCTAATTATTTTTTGGATATTTCATAGAGGGCGCTTGTTACGTTACATTCCTATTACATTTTAGGTTCTAATTTTTTTAAGGTTAGGTTTTTTACCATTCGGGCTCCAATTTCTAATGTACAATTTTATTTTCTAAAAATAATGTACTCTTGTTAGAACTTCCTAATGTGGTCGATTTTCGAGATAAAAGGCTTTTAATTGAACTCTTACAATATTACGGTGAAGAAAATAAGTGACTTTTCTCAAAGTAGGCTTATGTCAAAATTTATTGATGGATGTCTTATAAACAACGCATACATTCTCAGTAATATTTTAAACTCTAATGAACTTTATATCAAAATTTTAGTGGTCGTTAGTGACTGTAGTTAGTAATGACTAATTACATAACTATAAAATATACAAAAAATAATTAGACACGCGTATTTGGCGTCCTTAAAAACCCCGGAATACCAAATTTCATAAAAATATTTCGCACCGTTTGGAAATTTTCGTAAAAATTCTATTTAAAAAATTTATTTTGTCGCTCTGTATCTCGAAAACAAGAGGAGATAGACATATAGATTATAAGACAACAAATTCTTATTTTTTGTCGTACTATCACCCCCAGAATTTACGGGAGGTCTTTCTGAAACATCCCGTATGTAAGTCACGCTAGGAAATGTTTAGCCCTTGAGGCCGTAGGCCGAGAGGGCTAATTTTCCCAAGTAACTTATATGACGTGACACACGAATGTCATACAAAATTTTATCCAACACTTTCATAGAATTCCGTTTTAATAATAAATAAAAGTAACTTAAAATTTCAAGTTGACAATGTTAGAAAAAGTAATTTAACGAAATATGCAAATGTATTTTTAAATATTACAAATGATGCGAATGTCAACCTAAACTGTATCTGTAACCAAGGGTTTCATAACTGACTTATGACTTATAACTCACTAGCAAGTTATAGGCCACATTTTTCCTTTAAAACCAAGGTGTTGGACATTTTCAGCATATGTTGTAGTTTGTTTTGTACTTATGCGTTATTGAAATTTGCTTATATACAAGTGTTGAATAAAATAAATGCATTTTTGAACAAAATTACTATATAATGAAGTTAGTGTACTTAAAAGTGTCACTTTTAACTTTCAAAATTGTTTTAAAATAAAATGTCACTTTTTTAACGATTAAATTCAGTGACGGCTCTTGACTTCCATATCAGGGCGGGCGGAAAAATTTAGGTATTGAAAAGAATCAACTATAATTGGGTAGTTTTATTTTAAGTACCTACTATTGAAATATAGGGAAAATATGTTCAACATTATTTTTTATAGTGAAAGTCATATCTTGTTTTTGTCCGAAATAAACTTTTCAATTATTTTTTTAATAATGTTATCACCGATTTTTCAATAGATAACATTGCAACTACTGTCTTTACAATCTAATTTAAACTTTTAGAATCTTTAAAAAAAACACAAGAAACAATACATAGGACACCAAAAATTTTACACCACACGTAAGCAAATTACGTTGAATAAGAAAAAAAGCAGTGGTAGCTTACTGGCGGACTAAACAGAGCTCAAACTGCATAGTAAATACGCGCTACTCCCACTCTGTTTTTCACTTCTGCGCGATTGTAACCATGACCACCGCTGTAAACATTTTACAGATTTAGGGGCGAGCTACGAAGAGCCCACGTATTCAGTGTTTTTCAAATGAATTTTACACGTCGAATTCCTTTTTTAATGTGTTTCATAAATCTAATATAGTTAATAGATAACATTGTAAACTAAAAATGAAATTATATTTTTTTACTATGGTGGCGGCGGGCGCCCCAGAGCTTCCCCGCACCAGCCGCCACTGATTAATATAACATATTGTATAACCTCCCTGAAATCGTACATTGTGGTACTTACGTTATAGAACCATTGAAAATAAAATTCTCATTTTCACAATACTTGACTGCCATGATAGCAATTGAATTTATAAGGGCATCCAGCAAATCAAAGCTATCTGAATTCAAATATTCGCCAGCTGATCTTCCAGCCAAATAAACCAGCAGCGTAGAGGAATCATTAGAGTTAGGCGTAGGTAAAATGATAGTTGTAGTCGGTACCTCTGTGGTAGTGGTTGTCAATGCTTCCCCTATTAAAAAAAATTGTATGTAGGCACTGTTTGCGTTCTAAGTGTAATTAAAAAAATCTTACCAAGTCGAGTGAACACAGCTGTAAAATTACTAGCATTACTTCCAACAAATTCACCATAAAGTCTGTTGTTGTTATATAAATAGGCTGGTCGAGTCGTCACACCGTAAGTAAACAACAATCCATTGGTATTGTCATCTGAAAATTAAATACTTACTTTTGAATAAAATTAAATTCAAATAATATTAAATGAAGATATTATATTTATATTCAGATAAATTTAAATGATAAACAGGAGCGGCTTGTCAGGTGACGCAAGTGGACGCACCGCTTCACCTAAAATTTCTGTTTGGTGTGCAATTTAAAATTATTTTTAATTTTTTATAAATTTTATAATTTAGGTATATTGAAAATGTATTGGTATTGGTTTTTCGGAGTATAAGTGGTTGTGTGGAAGTGTTTATTTAAAAAAACTTTTCTGTATGCCGTGTTTAATTGTGGGCGTAAAGTTGGGCGTGTGGAATAAAGGGGGATATAACTAAGGTGACCAATCGTCCTCCTTTAGGGAGGACAATCCTTCTTTTGTAGGTTGTGTCCTTCCTCGAAAAGTGTCCTACCACCCGTCCTCCTTTTCGATATTTTAAAACTAATCTGTTAATCTCTGTATTCAGAGATGCCGCGCCGAACTATTACGCGTCATGTAACGGTACAGTTCGGAAAGACGCGATTATGAAATGCGTGCGCAGGGCACAGGAGAACTTGACGTGTCTCGCACCATTGCGCACTTCACTTTGTTGGGTATAACAGAAAAGTTTACCAAAGAAGTGCAGAATTTTTACCAAACATGTTTCCAATATGTCGAAGAAACAAATATCACAGGGAATAACAGTTTTCAATGGTGTTTTTTGACTTCATCGCAAGTAAATTGGGCAGATATTGAAAATTGTATTGAGTTTTTATTGAAAGAAATGCCTGATATTAAAATCGATGACAATTGTATATTTGAAGAAATTAGAAGATTGAATGTATATGTAAATTCTGATAAATTAGAACAATGGGAAAATCAACATGTTGAAATTGATAAAAGATGGGTGGAAATATTTAACCATTTCAAAAATGAACACATTCCATATGAAAATTTAGTTATTCTTGTTGAATTTACATTGTGCTGCTCTGAAACTAATGCAGCAGTTGAAAGAGTTTTTTCAATTGGTAATGATTTTTGGACAAGTGAGAAATCAAGATTGAATGTTGATACTCTAGCTGCAGCACTTACCGTAAATTTCAATATGAAGGATATTTCTTGCTCTGAAATTTCCAATATACTTTTAGAAAATGATATATTGACAAAAAATATTCATTCAATGGAAAAATACGCATTTAAGTAAATAATTTAAAGGGATGTAAGCATAATTAATGTATTTTTGTTTGAATAAATAAAATGTTTCATTTATTTACATTGTACTCTTGTCTTAAATTTTTTCGTCCTCCTTTTCATTGTAACAAAATTGGTCACCTTAATATAACATTTTTGGGAAAGTCACGCGAGGCTGTTGTAACCACAAAGCTTATTTGGAACATACATGTACGGTGTGCATTAATGTTCGCAGAAGTCCACAGGCCGAACTAATATTTCTATTTGTCATAAAACCCCTGTGTACCAAATTTAGTGATTCTCGTACAACAGGGTTCTGAGATATAAAAAAAATATTATTCTTAGGGGCGGACTTCAGGGGGCCATAACTCCGAAAGAAGGGGCCACTTGGCAAAAATAAAAAATACGGGTCCCCTAAATTTGTCCTAAGAATCTGTGACCAAATTTTGTTTCATGAATTTAGGGACACCCTGTATGTCAAAAACGAGGGTATCTATACAGGGTGTTCGTTAATGATATACGAATATTTGTGTAATTATACATGGAAAATTAATGATAATTTGTTTTATAAACTATGGTCCAAAAATGTTCAGTTGCGAAAATACGAGGTGTCAAATTTTAGGAAAAAAGAAGGAAATTAATTAATATTTTCGAAACCGCAGATACTTACTTCAAAATGTCGGAAATATAAGTGACGGATTCTAGGCCAACTATAGTACGATCGTATACGATGCAAAGTAGAGCAAAAAATTGTCGGTCTTTTATCAAAGGAAAATCGTGTCATCATTTTTAGAAGGCGTAAGATGAACCGTTTCAAATTTAAAATGAAATTGAATGTAAAATCTACTAGCTGTAGTCGGCCAGGTGCATCGAGTGTACGAAGTGGTCGGTTATACGTCAAATACTAACCTGGCGAGCTTGATCGTAGAGCAGGGAACAATAAACAGTGGCGCGTACAGAGGTGAAATGTAGTACATATCTGGAATTTAAATAACGAATTGGATTTATAATAAATTACATTTAAAACAAATAGTTTATGAGAATAAAGGGATTTTTGTAGGAACAGGGTTCCAGACGTGAACTGATCTCTTCATCGCACCCCATTACTATTCTTTTTTTTTTTATAAGGAGAACAAAGTTTCAAAGCAAAAACCTTGTATAACAGATATAATATAAATATTTACAGAATGAAAACAAAATATAAATCCTATGATATGATTCTATCAAATGAAAATATTAACAACAATTCTCTACCAATCTCAACAAAATAAGTTATTTTTCTACCAAACAAGAAATGTTAACAAATTATAAGCAAAATATAAATTCTATGATTTATGTACTGTACGCCAAACTGCATTTTTCTCATCTTCATTTAATATTAATTTCTTCTTTCCACCCCCTTTTTAGGTTTCTTAACGTCTCCTTCAATTTTCTTCTGTCTTAAAATTTTGAAAACAGATAATTCGCTTACTCCAGTATATCTAGAACACATTTCCACCAAACCAGTCTTCAGTTTCATGGGATGACCCTTTTCTAAAGGGTTATAGACATTTAATATTATCGTTTTTTTTTCTGTAACTTAATATAGTTTTTTTTGTACCCACAGCAGTACATCCGGCTCGCGAACATCCAGGCACCGCCTCCATTTCTCCATATAACGACAACAGAGCAATAATAATACAAAAAACTTCACTTCACTAGCACAGAAAATATAATAGCATTCACGATTCACAAACAACAGCCCGAAACACACACACAGCACACAAATAAAACACTAAAAACACTTTTGTTACGGAGCACAAGAAATATGATTTCACTCAGAAATTCTCAAATAATAGCGCGAAACACATATATAGCCCGAAAGAAATATAATTGCACTTATAACAGTTATAACCTCACAAATATCGCGAGCGAAAAACACGCAGCACCAATACAACCGAAATGAAACTGACCACGCCAGGCTCACGCGCGCCGCCGCAAAAAACACAAGACACAAGTCATATGAGGGAGAATGAAGGGAGTAATAAATGTATTGTTGTCCTGTCGTCCAATGTGCGAAGGAGATGCCTTTGTTTTTCATTTTGTCCTTCATAAATATATAACTGTTAATCCATAATGCATAAAGAAATTATTCAATTTCCAAAACCCCCTATAAAATGTGTTGCACTGATTCCCTTGACAGGCAATGATTTATTACTTTGCATCGAATACGATCGTACTATAGGTTTATTACAAAATTGTATTCTTCAATAATTAGGGACAATACAACGGGTTTTATTTTTTTTACAGAAACAGCGCATCGCATGACAAAAACTTAAGAGAGCTCTTATATTTCGAATTGAAGTGGTATTTCAAAAATAATTTTATTTGGGAAGAAACCATTGGCGTACCTTTTTTTCTTTAAAAATATCAAAGTCAGTGCTCGTACGCACGCCACTGTTAGAGCTAAAAATTATGTTTGTATTGAAAAACATGCGACTATATTAACTATCACTACGTACTAAATATCACTGAAACATCTTCGAAAATATTAATTCATTTCCTTCTTTTTCCTAAAATTTTCACACCCCGTATTTTTGCAACGGAACATTTTTGGACTATAGTTCATAAAGCAAACTATCATTGATTTTGCATGCAAAATCACACACTTAAATATTCCCGTATCATTAAAGAGCACCCTAAACACAAAAATATTTTGTTTGGTTAAGCAAAAAGTTCCTTCATTTTATAAAGTTATTACATTTTACTCCATATATTACAAGAAAATGTTACCTATATGTACATATTTAAAAAGAAAGAAATAATGCTGTTGGGGAGATTGGGATATTCCGAATTTATACATTTAAAAAAATTATTATCAAAATAACAAATCTGTATTCTTGCTTTTCAAAAAATTTATATACGTTTCGAGTTGTTACTTCACAAAAACTTAATTATAATTTTATGAGAAAACCACCCACAACAGATAAAACCACTTTCCAGTTACTACAGATTGTGACTAATGTACATATTAAACAAGTTACATGTAATATAAATATAAATAAATTTAGCAAATAATTGTTAATATTATTTCAACACTGAAAAGTCGTAAAGAAGTATAAATCGAAATAGCTATATATTGTTAAATATTCCATAACTTTACATATACATACAAATTATACAATAACATTTTGTTACTGATTTTAGTAGTAGGTACCTGTCCTCTCTACACAATTATCCTTTGTTGCTAAGATATGTGCTACTGATGAACATGAGGTTTCAATTTTATGCGTTAAATTTTGTGAATTTTCATACCACCCAAATAGCAATTTGCCTGATTATTGAAATTTATAATAGATATTCACTAAACGACTATTGAAACTTTCGAAAAATTAACGATTTATCAAGGAAACGAAGAGAACCCACTGAATGCACCATAGGGATCAGTGAAAATTCAGTGTGCCACTATACAAGATTTCATTCTCACAGAGCTGGCTTAAAATCAGTAAGTGAGCTTACCAGCGAAAATACTTACTTTTATTTCGACGATCTGGACTGAAGTTTGATGAAGGATTAATAATTTGCCTGCATCGCGAATTCTAAACTAATGCATTTCCAGAATGGAATCCTGTATAATAACACATTTTCACTTGTAACTATAAAAAAGTATCGTTTATATACTTATATAAATATAATCATCGCAAAATTATTACACAAAGTTTTGAAACCGTGTTTGTTTACCTGTAGTGATAGTAGCATGCTCTCCATTTGCACCATCTATATTACAATCCGTAATGTTTACACTAATTTTGTGGCCTTCAGCAGCTTCTATAATAACGGACTGTGTAGATTTTGGAGACCAACTTAGTATGTTATTCCCATCACTTAAAAATAGAATAGGGATGTCAGTAGTTGTGATTTCTGTAGTTGTGGTTTCTATAATTGTTGTGGTTTCTTTGTCAGCTTCTGTCGTGACAATGTTAGTGGTGACTTCTGCAGTTGTGGTTTCTATATTTGCTGTGGTTCCTCCATCATTTTCTGCCGTATCACTATTAGAGGTGTCTTCTACAGTTGTGGTTTCTATATTTGCTGTGGTTCCTCCATCATTTTCTGTCGTAACACTATTAGAGGGCACTTCTACAGTTGTGGTTTCTATAATTGATTCCGTGCCTCCATCACCTTCTGAAGTGGACGTCACGTCTTGACAGTAAACTGAAAAACATTTGCGAATCAGTAATTTACTACATTTTCGAAAATACTTCAAATACGTACCCAAATGGAGAAATACAATAAATAAATATAAAGAAGCTTTCATTTTGGACATTTTTACAACTTACACCATTGTCATATTTTCATTTAGGTACTCTAAAAGGTTTCGAAAGGAGAATAACTTTATCTTTGTTGATAAGATTATGATTAATCTAATATAGATTATATTTATCTCAGTGTTTTCCTAAATCTGATAGTACCTATTGTTTTATTAACCAATTTATGGGACTATAAAAACTTAATCGGAAATTTGGGGACATATTAACAAAAAATTATTTCATCAATAAACAAAATAAACATTTGTTCAGTTATAAAAAAATATTAATATTGTTTCCCAAAGCGTGTTATCCTGCCTTTATTGGAAATCAGAACTGTAAAATGCAATTAATAAATACAGAAATTAATATTTTTAGTCAGATGGTGATCTAGGTTTACTATTGTTAAAAAATCACTTGCCCAAATTAACAATAGGTACAAGTATTTTATAATGAAATAAATTCTTTTTAGCTAATAGATACTACCTTCAAATACAATAACTAAAATGTTAGAAATTTTATAGTTCAAGATAAAAAGAATTATCCGAAGATGTGTCACTAGGTAGGTACTGAGTTAGCAATTAAAACTGCACTTAGCAACATAATTTATTAATAGAAAATATATCCATCCTTCCATAAACCGGTTTAGATCTTATAGGTACAATTTTGTTTTCTCAACAAATTTATGGTCGTTAAAAACTATTTATTTGGTTTAGATACGCCACTTTCAAATAAATTTAATGAAATTTGATAGGTACAGATAAATGTTCGAGAAAGTTGCATATGAAGTTTTTTATACTGCAACTGTTCCAATAAACTTGATTGAAACGTTTCAATATTACTTAAATTCTTAGTTAAATGAACATTTCTTTCTTCCATTTCTGCAATATTTTAATAAAACCGAAACCTTTCTGACATATTTAAATTGATCTCAGATTACCGCTGAACTAAATTTTTATACGTTTCAGAAATGTTTAAAGCGTATATGGAACTTTTGATACATTTTTTAAATTGTTTTTAGTTGACAATAATTGAATATTGGATCGTATTTCTAATTTGCAGTGTGTCCAAGATAAGGATGGGATAGCATTAAGATCTAGGAAACGGTAAGAGATACGGGGTTGCTCAAATTAGAAAAAAGTTGTGTTTTTTTATGAATAACAATATGCCGTTTAGAAAGTTTTAAAATTCCGGATAGTTCCGGAGATATCGGGAAAAAACCGAAATTTTGCAAAATCGTTTTATTTTTTTCTGGCTTCATTTGAAAACGAATTTTAAAATAAATTGTGTAATGCCTTAGGGTTGAATAATAATCAAACGTATAAATAAAACTGTAAACAATATTTATTGAATATTAAACGTCTGCTCTCTTTACAATCATTCTACAGACTCCTATCCCTTATCCCTTTTTCCTACATAATATATAAACATCGCTTTCAACTTACAACTATGATGGCAACACATACCAGAGTGGCATCATTGGACACACACCTGCATAAACACTCGTCCGTCATCTAATAAACATCTCAGTGGATATACAGGGTGCTAACAGTTCGGCCAACCTGACTGGTTTCTCGTCCCGAGAAATAAAAGTACGAGTTCTCTTGTTTTGTGTAATCAATATTCTAATATATGTTGCACATTAATACACCAAAGAAAAATAAACTAAAATACATACACATACACATATATACACATATATATACACATATATATATATACACATATATATACACACATATATATACACACATATATACACATACACAATAGTACAAACTAGAAGTTACACATAATTCCAACTTAAATTTAAACTCATACAGAATAGATGTTATTAAACTCGTGGAGTAGTTCACTCTACGTCTGAAAAGCCATCGGTATCGTCGGTACTGGAGTACCTACGATGAAGGGTTTCAGCTTTTCTGATGGATATACACCTACATAAACCTCTCGTCCTCCTCGAAAATTTCCTTTTAATTCCATGACCTCTATTCGATCATGGTTTAACAGCTTGGTGATCACAAACCGACCATCATATTTAGGAAGAGGCTTACGACTAGCTCTATCGTTACTGGTACGTTCACGTCGAACGACTACATAGTCTCCTACAGAATATGTTTTTGGTCTCGCACATTTGCGATCATATCTTTCTTTATCCATCCTTTGTTGGCGTCGTATACGTTACGACGCACGTTCACGTATTTGTTAATCTGAAATGCACATCCATGAAATAACGTTAATGTATTGATGGTTATTATATCAAAATGGGTTTACCTTGTTCACAAATATTATCTATTTCAATGTAAATGTATCGTCTAAAAGGAAGTTAATAAAGATCTATAGGTACAGTACAATATAGAAAATGCATATCTACGATTAAAGTTATTTGGATCCTCGATTACTTATACCTATCCAAACCTCTAAAACTTATACCTATCCAAACCTCTAAAAAACGAAGTAGTGACTAGGTACGAAACAGAAAATAAATAAACAAAGATAGAAATATTAACTTAATATCCAAACCAACCCACAAGTCCGGTTTGATGGTTAGGCAAACTCTGCCAAACCGGGTTAACTACATTTCTCGCCAAAACGTCAAACCTCAACAAACTATAGTTAACCGGGTTAGCGGTTTTCTCGCCAAAAAACCCTTATTGTTATCATCAACATCGACATCCACTATAAAGTAAGAAATGCGTCATTTCTACTTCTCGGCACGTAGCCAAACATCGTAATAGAAGAATGTTTCTCCCGTGGATTTGTTAACCGTGTTATTCAAACCCCCAACATATATATTTTTTTTTCCATCATCTACGTTAGTGATGGCACAAACAGCTGTCAAAATAGTTCGGTTATAAATTGAATATTGTATTTGTGGCAAAATTGTATAAATCGCTTACTCGTAAAAGCGGTGCCTCTGTCGGTAATGAAATGTTTTGGGACACCAAAAAAAGGGATAATTTGACTTTCAATTAAAAATTCAACCGGTACGCTTTTATGTTCCGTACAGGTTTTGCAAATACAAATTTTGTAAAAGCTTCAATTGCTACAATAAGATAAGAATTTTTTACATTTACTTTTAACAAATGACCCTAGATGATCTAAATGGATAGTGTGCATAGGTTTCGATACTTTATCAATGGGATGCAAATATCCAGGGTGTTTACCTGACGGTTGTTTATTGTACAAACATCCTAAATATGTCTTTATATATAATTTAACATATTCTTTCATGGATGGGAACCAATAATGTTGCACCAGTCCAAAGATTTTTGTTTTCGGCAAAATGTCCTTTCTCATCGTGATATCGCATTACCAACTGCCGTCTGACAGACTTAGGTACCACCCACTTCATCCCGTTTTTTGTGCGTTTGTATACACGTTCATTATTTAACCCATATTATTCGTGAATGTTGTTTTCTCTTTTATCGCATGGTTTTCTCAGCAACACGTCACGCAAATATTTTATTTTGTCGCCCTAAAATTGGGCTACTAATATCCAATCATCGTCACATATGTTTGTTTGCATTACGTCTACTTCTGTGAAATCATTTGTATATGCCACCGGATTACGACTCGACGCATCGACATGTGTCAGTTTACTTCCAGCGCGATACTCTACAATAAATTGATATTCTTGTAACAACAACCACAAATCTACTCTAGGTAGTAAATCACGTTTCACAAAAGTTGCC